CCTGTGACACCCTATGGAAGCAAGAGTTGAACTCTGAGCAGCATAGAAAGAATAGTGACCCTTTTGAACTTTGATGTTGGAGAAGGCTCCCGACAATTCTATGGATAGAAAAGAGAACAAACAAATGGATCATAGAAGAAATCAATTCAGAGTTCCCACTTGAGGCACTGATCCCCAGACTCAAATTTATCATATCTTGAACATAACTATGCAAAGACCTAGGTCTCTTGCAAAGTCTATAATGCTGGGTAAGTTTGGGGGGAGCGGGAGAGGATGACCAGCAGCAAGATGGATGGACTTGATTACAACAGTGATAGGTGCAGTATTAGAAGACCTGAAGGGCCAGGTTGGAGATGGAGATCATCCTATCTATGTGGTTGCTAAGACTCAACCCGGACCTGATGGTAGATAATAAATCAATCACAATTACTTCTGTATTGCTGTTAGGAAAGTTAGATGGATGAGCTCATGTAGTGACCATCAGCAAATCCACACAGCCTTCTTCCCATGACACAACGATGGCCAAGTAACCAATTCCAGAGAAGAAACCTACATGCCAAAGCCTGTATGTCAACCTCCTCTTTCAGTTTGACCCCTTACCTCTTTGCCTATCCATCAGTCCTCTTTTGGTTGCAAGGGTAGCACCTCAAATTTTACAGCTCCCGCACCAATTCCCAGAGCTTTCCATTTCTTAAACTCCATTTCTGCAACTGCACTTACCCAGCAGTTACACATATCCACATAATCACTAGATGTCAGCCAAGGGATACGACACTCTTAACTCTTTGTTACCAAGTAGTTTATAGGTGAAACAGTCAACTAATTAACTCATCGTTTTAAGGATTCTTTTTTTTTTTAAGTTCAGTTAGTCAGCAATACAACAGGAAAGAAAGAAAAAAAATAAAACAGTCGCAGTGCATGGAGTAACCAAAGCAGTGTACATGCCAACTGAAAGAAGCTATTCACATGGTAAATGATGTTGGGGTCAGGATGGAAATGGAATCATCAGTCATGTTCCTCCTCTAACTGACATGTTCTTCTGTTTTCCTTTTTCAGTCATAACCAGACAGGGAGTTTTGTAATGTTTGGTGGCATTGACAGCTCCTACTTTACTGGGAATCTCAACTGGGTGCCCGTTACTGCTGACTACTATTGGCAGATCACTCTGGACAGGTAACCAGACTCCTACACCTTCATCCTTCACATCCCTGCTTCACATAGATGCATCAAGAACAAAGTGCAGGATGATGGCAAAAGGAGATGTCTGTCAGCCCTTTGAAGTGGGCCAGGTCACGAAACAGACACCTCAAGGACTATAGGAATGCATTTTAGTGTTGTGGGATGCAATAATAGACTCTTGAAAGCCTGCCAGGGTTTCTCTCTGCCCCTCGTATACCAGACAAAATCAAGGCGAGTTATTTTGAATCTCTTTCTCATACTTCCTCATTTCCCACAGCTAGGTTATCCTTTACTTTCCCTTAATGGCTCTCCTACGATGCCAGAGAAACGAGTGACCCCACCCTAATCCCACAAAATAGGCAGAAGGGCAAGATATGTATATTGCAAAAACTGGCACTGAAAAGAAAGGTTGAGTTTACAATTTCAAAGGACCGGAGGGCAAAAGATTGTGGTAGTTTTCTTCCTCTCATCTTGACCTGACTATTTCTTTTCAGTATCACCATCAATGGTCAACCCATTGCTTGTTCTGGTGGCTGCCAAGCTATTGTTGACACTGGTACCTCCCTCATAGCAGGTCCCCCCCAGGGCATCTCTACCATTCAGAACTACATTGGGGGTAGCCAAAGACTCCAGTGGTGAGGTAAGCATAACAACAACTCTCAAAGATACCTGTGAGACAGAAAGACAGACCAGGCGCAATGTGCTGGAATACCTCTGGAGATCTATGGTTCAATGATTTTGTGAATGTTAATAAGAGATTTTCCAGATAATTGCTGATGTTTTTTAGTATTGTTAGGGTAGTATTGTTAGGGTAGTATTTAGTATTGTTAACAATTGTTAGTATTGTTATGTACAATCCATTTTCTCCCTCTATCCCAATTCTTATGCAAGATTATTATTTTGCCGTAGCTCCTTAATACATTATAGCCAGGGAAATACCATTTCCAGCACTAGTTAGTCCACACATAGAGTGGCACATGTATTGAAGATAGTGCTGGTCAGGTCAATGACTGCAAAGACCATAACACCAGCCCCTGATCATGGACCATTTATCCTCCACCAAGCCCTCTCCTCAAGTTCCCTTGATTGCTCTACTAGCATGAGATACTCATAAAAAATAAAAGAAAAAGAAACCCACAAAGATACAAACGATTATTACTAGCCAGGCTCCCCTTCTTCCCTTCCTGATATTCTTCTCCTGATTTGTGGCATCCCTTCTTTGCCTTCCACACTGTAAACAGCTACCACTTGGAATATAATCCTGGACTGAGGTCATCATTGTTGACTCTAAGGACATCTTATTCCAGGAAGCACCATTCTAGTGCTTTTTCTTCTGGACTAATTTCTAGTCCATAACATCCAGCTCCCCCCCGCCTTCTCAAATGTTATGTGGCTGCTAACCTTTGTTTTCTGTTTATCCTACTTCACATCAGTATATAGTCAACTGCAATGTTATCAACAGTCTGCCTGATATCGTCTTCACCCTCAATGGCATTGAATATCCTCTGCCTGCCAGTGCCTACATTCGCCAGGTAACATCCTTGATTTATCCAGCATAAAGTTATCTCAGATCATTTATGTCATATAATAAACCTATACAGTGGAAAAGAAATCTGACCTATGAAAGGATTAAAGTAAGCAGTTATACCAAGGCAATCTTGGTACCTCATATTCAAGTGGTAGACATCTGCTCACATTTGAAGTGTTTTTGATCATCTTTAGCATAGTAGTATTCTCATTATGCATTAGGAAATAAGCTCTGTAAGTCTTTGAGCATGAACTTCAAACCATTTAGTGATAAATGGCTTTATTTCTAGCTGATCAACACACTCTTGGAAGCCATTACTGCATTATAAATGGCTTACATAAGCTTAATCTAAGATTCACCTGTGGATCATATTCATTTCCCTCTAGTAGATCTTCCTTCTCCACAATAGGCCATCCCCACTATGCTAAATTTCAATTCCCAGCATCTAGGCTGGCTGAGGGATTATCAGAACTGAAATTCAATGCACTTGAAGAGCACCAGGTTGAGGAAAGCTATAGGAGACTATTTTAAAGAAAGGGTATTGTATCAGCTTATCACTCTGGATTCAAGGGTAACCACTAGGCTTAACCAAATGATGCAATATTAACCTATGTACACTATATAAAAATGACGTACATAGCATGGAGGATATATGTAAAGAGATTATTTCATTATGACATTATTATTTCATTATGCCATAATCCATGTACAAATGTTCAAGGAAAGCACAATTAAAGAACAAGCACCCTTTAACAAAAAAACAAGTATGAATCACTGTTATATATTATTCCTGGGACTCTTCAGAAAATTTCACATAGAGTCCAAGCATGATTCTCAGCATCATGGTCTTTCCCTTGCATATAACTATGGTACAATCATGTTCTGGCAGCACTTACTTTTCCCCTTGGCATTGCCTTCATTTCCTCCCCAGCCTATTAATGAGGCAGCTTTAAGTCACTGTTAGCTGTCCTAGGATGAACATAGCATCTTCCCTTCCTCCAACACAATCCAACAGCATCCTCCAGGTATGCAAAATCTGTAAGGCTTTGACACCCATCACCTTGGAGGGAAATCAAATCAAATCAAACTCCAGATTTGAATGAGAGGCAAGACAGAGGTAGGCAATGGAGGCAGCCTATTCCTGCTGGTATGGTTTTCTGCTGACTCAGGGATGGATAAGAAGCACTTCAGCTCAACAAGGGTGGGGTGGGGGAATGTCAGCTTCCAGGTGTTTTTTAAAGGCCTTCTTGTTAGAGTTGGACCATTCAAATTCTGCAACTGGCCCAGAAAAGCCACTATTCATCATAAACCTGAACTTTTCTTTTCAGACCCAAAGTTATTGCTTTAGTGGCTTCGAGGATATTCCCTTCGCCAATAGTCCACTTTGGATCCTTGGTGATGTCTT